ACAAGCAGGGAGAGCTGAAGCAGAGGAAGAAGCAGGCTCCCTGCCGAGCAAGGAGTCCCATGCTGGACTTGATTCCAGGCCCCTGGGATCATGACCTGAGCCGAAGGCAGATGCTTAACTGACTGAGCCACCCAGGTGCCCCTGCATGTGTCTGGACTTAATGACTCAATTCTAACAAATAAAGTAGAAATAATGGTGTGTGACTTTAGAAACTAGGTCATAAAAAGGCACTGCAGCTTCCATCTTGGTTGCTGTCTTTCTTGGATCACTTGCTCTGGAGGAAGCCAGCTGCCAGATCATGAGCAGCCCTCAGGAGAGACCCAGATGGCAAGGAGCTGAGGCCTCCTGCCAGTAGCCACTGAGTGAAGTTCAGTGATCCTCCACTCTCAGTCAAGCCTTCCATTGACAGCGGCCTAGCCAGTATCTTGATTGCAGCCTCCAAGATATATGAACCATCCAGTTAAGCCACTTGTACATTCGTGATCCACAGAAAAAAAGATAATAAAAACTCGTTGTTTTAAGCTACTATACTTTGGGATAATGCATTATTTAGCAGTAGATAACTAATAGACTGAGAACTGTGATTCCCAAGGATTTGGAGAGACATTATTTTTTTCCCAATGTCCATATCTGGTACAGAAATGGTATTGAATTTTCTTAGTTTTTAAAAAAGCTAAACTTGCTTAAGGTTTAGAAAACTATGAAATATTGTTTTGTTTGGCTTTTGGAAATGAGCATTTCTCTGAATATGTCAAATTTATAATTAAACTTCTTTACTGTCCTTTCTTTAGCTTCAGAGTTCTAAAGTAATATTAATTTACAATTACTCAGTTATGTAGAGAAATTGAAGAAAGCTGACCATTGAATGTTATAGATTTTGTTTCCTTTCATCTTTGGTATAGGAATTTTATTTTTGTCGATATTGACAGGTAAATATTGCGCCCATTCTAAGTAAACATGAAAAAAGCCTTAAGTTTTGGATGGTGAAAAAGAGCTCTGGTTATTAGAGTAAAGGAGCTCATATCAGTACATTTAAAAATAAACATAAACAGAACATATCCAAACGAGATTGCAGATTCCCTATTAAGATACTGTCATCCAGCAAAAATCACATAATAGTCAGATCATAAAATCAAAACCCATTTGTACCACTGCTGCCATCTGTGTGGAAACTATTGTCCATGTGTCCAATTAAAGTCAGAACCAGAAAGAGGCTTTACCAAGAATCAGATTCACTGTGCAAGAGCCATATTCCTCAATCAGTTATATGAGGAAAGGTTAACTGAGGACTCAAGGGCCCAAGTCTCAGAAAAGGTACGCTTTCAGGCCATGTGTTTGATTCTCATTTTGGATCCAGAAAGGCAGCATATTAGTGAAATTTCCAGAAATAAACATCAAACAAGGAGTCAGAAATATTTAGTTTGTGATTTTGCGATGCGATTTGTGTTCTTACATGTAAGAGAGTCAGCTAATTGGCTAAATATTTTTCTTTTTTTTTTTTAAGATTTTATTTATTTTTTTGACAGAGACACAGCGAGAGAGGGAACACAAGCAGGGGGAGTGGGAGAGGGAGAGAGAGAAGCAGGCTTCCCACTGAGTAAGAAACCTGATGTGGGGCTCGATCCCAGGACACTGGGATCATGACCTGAGTCGAAGGCAGACGCTTAACGACTGAGCCACCCAGGCGCCCCGCTAATTGGCTAAATAAAGGAAAAACCAGAAATAGTCTTGTTTGCATATTTTGTGGGTAAACTGGTTAGCTGACAGCTACAAAAAGTTCAGTTTGGGTATTCTGCCTTTGTGTAGGAAGCCTAAGGATATCAAAGAAATCATTTTAGTTGTTTTAAAAAGATAAATTAGCTGTGTAACATGTGATAACATTTCTAAGGTCTGCCAGTCCCCTCTGTCAGCACTGCTACCTTAAACCAGATATGCACCATTTCCCTCATTCAAATTTCTTCCTTATCATTAAAAAAATTTTTTTGGAAGCACTGAAATGTTCCATAATAGAATGGCATGTCTAGTCAGTGGAATATTATGCAGCCTTTAAAAATGTACAAGGATATGTGCATAACAATGTTCACTACAAGATTATAATAGTGAACAGTTGTGACAAAGAAAATGTCCATCAGTAGGGAACTATGAGTTCAGCAATAATGTGAAATACTGGGCAACCATTAGAAAGAATAAGCAGATATGTATGGATTAACATGGAAGGATGTCTACAATATGATGAGCACTTACTGTGTGCCAGAGTATTATGTGATCTATTTTTGTTTCTTTTTTTTTTTTTTAAAGATTTTATTTATTTATTTGACAGAGAGAGACACAGCGAGAGAGGGAACACAAGCAAGGGGAGTGGGGGAGGGAGAAACAGGCTTCCTGCGGAGCAGGGAGCCCGATGCGGGGCTCAATCCCAGGACCCTGGGATCATGACCTGAGCCGAAGGCAGACGCTTAACCGGCTGAGCCACCCAGGCGCCCTCTATTTTTGTTTCTTAAGAATAGGTTATTGAGGGGTGCTGGGTGGCTCCCTTGATTAAACCTTGACTCTTGATTTTAGCTCAGGTCATGATCTCAGGGTTGTGAGATCAAGCCCCTTGTCTGACTCCACACTGAACAGGGAGTCTGCTGGAGATTCTCTCCCTCTTCCTCTGTGCACCCCCCACCCCATGTACGTGCACTCTCTCTCTAAAATGTATGGATAAATCTTTTTAAAAAATAGCTTTTGGAAGAGACTTGTTAACAGAGTTTATCAACAGAATTCTAATGAAAGAGGTACCAAAGAAAAATTTTATATCTTATTTACTTCTATATTTTTTGCATTTTTTTTACAATAAGCAGTTTACTACTTTTGTAATTGAAGTTTATAACACTTATAAGAGGTTTTAACAACATGGGAAATACTTTTATGATAATGTTAAGTGCAAAAGTGGGATATAAAACTTCATATCTAGTAACACAACCATGTTTTCTTCAAGTATGTATAAAAAGTGATTTGAAAAACACAAAGATGTTTCAGAAGGAGACTTTAGGTAATCAGAATAAACTTTTTTTTTTTTTAAGAGAATGCATGACCAAGTGAGCAAGGGGGGCAGGGGGAGGGGCAGAGGGAGAGAGAGAATCTTAAGCGGCCTCCACAGCCAGCATGGAGCCCAACACAAGGCTCAATTTCACAACCCTGAGATCATGACCTGAGCCGAAATCATGAGTCGGGCACTTATCCAACAGAGCCACCCCAATGCCCCAAATATTTTCAGATTTTTCTATAGCAAAATTTATTAATCCCTGACTGACTCCTGCATCCTTGAAAATTCCCCACTCACACATATTTTCCATCACTACCTCTGCCCCCCGTATTCCCTTAAGCAGAAATCAATGACAGAGTAAATCTAATATAAAATGTATCCCAGGGATGCCTGGGTGGCTCAGTCAGTTAAGTGTCTGACTCTTGATCTCAGCTCATATCTTGATCTCAGAGTTATGAGTTCAGGTTCTCTGTTGGACTCCACGCTGGGCATATGGAGCCCACCTGAAGAAAAAAAAATGTAATCCCTACTGTAGGATTATTTCTAGATTACTCACTATTTTAACTGGGTTAGTATTTCTTCTTTTAATGTTTCTAATCAAAAGTTGACTGTAATTGGTTTCATTTTTATCCCACTTAATATAAACTGCTGTATAATCAGTCATAGAAATTGTAATATTATACTTTTAGAAAGTAAAGTCAGGTATTTTTCATTGGAGGCATATATTTTTCTTTGGTATTTTCTGGGTTAATTTTTGAAGATGTTAAGTGGTTTTTCACAAAATTTGTTGAGGAATAACAAATTATTTGAGGATTTGGTAGTTCATAGTCTGATCTTGTAATAGTCAAGTAGCTAAGAAGTTTTCAAGTAGACATATTTTTGATTTTATTGTTTTTCATTGTTACTTGATACTTGGCAAAGTTTGCAAAGAAGCATACTGAGAAAGCTTACGATTCACCACATGTCTAGATTTGATTGTGTCTGTAAGCTCCAAATAAATATATAGCCAGTAAGTATAATTTCTGTTCACTCAAAACTTATTTTTTTTTAAGTTTTTAAGTTTACTTATTTATTTATTTATTTTTAAATAATTTCTGTACCCAACATGGGGCTCGAACTCACAACCCTGAGATCAAGAGTCGCATGCTCTTCTGACTCAGCCAGGCAGGCACCACTGTTCACTCAATTTTTAAATATGCTATGGCCATATTGAATGTGAGGTGATCCAGAACAATTGAGGTCATCATTGGTGAAGAATTCTGAGCACTTGAATCATACTCTCATTTAGTTCTTTAACTATGATTGTTCTTTAACTTCAGAATTCTATCCTGGCACTTTTGTACCTTAAGGATCAAAAGGGGCATGTGAAAAAAAATTGGATACTATAAAGTACTAGACATATATAAAGTATCAGGCACTTGGTTTTAACTAAAAAAATCTAAGAAAATCTCCTAAGGAAACTGTGATATAGGTTACCACGTATACATTTTTATTTGGGCTACAGAATATGGATAGTAAATTTGCCACAGTAAGACTAGTAGAGTGGGGTGCTTACTGGTTCAATGACCTTCAGTTGGCATTTACTATGTAATACTTAAGGATGGCATAGTGTGAGAGTCTACACTGCTGAATCAGAAATGTTCTTTGCTCTATTCAAGTTGTCTTTTAACTCTTTCTGTCATTTACATTCTTTCCTTCCTAGCTGCCAGATGTGTACTTTAGGAAGGTAAGGTACAGAAAAGGTTTGGGGTAAAATAATAAGAAAGAGACAAAAATGTAGTATTTCTGTCATGGATTGAAAAATACTGTTAGTGTACCATACGATATGTGGATGTTTATTTGTATCATTGTATATTTGATAAATATAATATTTTTTAATCTGAATTTCATAATTGAGTCTAAATTATCCTGTCATATTTATTACCAAGTAGATGTAACACAAATTTGCTAATTTTTTATTCTCTTCTTATAGTTTTCAGCGTATGATTTCATCCCATCTCCAAAATTAAAGTCCTCTCAAGGAATGCCAGTAAATGATGATATATGTTTTAGCAGAAAAAGAGTGTCAAGAAACTTATTTCAGAATAGTCGAGATTATAACCCAGATTCTCTTCCTGTATGTGCTGCTGGTAAGTAAAAGGTGCAGGTAATGGACATGTTGAAACTTAAGTTAAAGGTTTCTCTAAACGTAATAATTCCTTTAAGAGCTCAAAGAATTTATAATCTAGTAGACAATTCAGGTTCAATAAATATTTGTTAAAGATGTGATAAGAATGGGGTACCTGGGTGGCTTAGTCCATTGAGAGTTCAACTCTTGATTTCGGCTCAGATCATGATTTCAGGGTCATGAGATCAAGCTCTATGTCCGTCTCTGTACTGGGTGAGGAGCCTGCTTGGGATTCTCTCCCTCTCCCCCTTGTCCCACACGCTTGTTTGTGCGTGCTCACACTCTCTCAAAAAAAAAAAAAGATCTAGTAAGAATGGACACTTTGACATAATTGTCTCCTAAGACCTTGGAAGGGTTTCTCAGTGAAACCCTTTAAGTAGTAATGTAAGGCAGTATTTACTTTTTTTTTTTTAAAGATTTTTATTTATTTATTTGAGAGAGAAAGAGAGTGAGAGAGAGAGCATGAGATGGGAGAGGGTCCAAGGGAGAAGCAGACTCCCTGCTGAGCAGGGAGCCCGATGCGGGACTTAATCCTGGGACTCCAGGATCATGACCTGATGAGCCGAAGGCAATCGCTTAACCAACTGAACCACCCAGGCGCCCAAGGCAGTATTTGCTTAGTCGACAATCCATATTTATTTAGTGTCTCCTATGTGTCAGATACTTTACTAGGTACTGGGGATATAGCAGTCAACAAAAGAGGGAAACTTTCTCCCTAATAGATCTTGCATTTTAATTGGAGCAAAGCAGACATAAATAAAAGCAAAGCATAGTAGGTTAGATGGTGATAAATGCTATGGAGAAAAATAAAGCAGAGAAGATGAATATGGAGGAAGGGCTGTTTTAAATAATGTGGTGAAAGAAGGCCACATTCAGAAAGCGAATATTTGAAGCAAACCACACAAATATCAAGAGAGAAGAACAGATAATTATAGGAAGAGGGAATAGTGCAGAGTGCAGGACATGTTTGAGAAAGATCAAAGAGGCTACTTAGTCTGGAATGAAATCAGTAAGGGGAAGAGAAGTAGAAAATGAAATTAAAGAGGTAATAAGCGTCCTTATTTATAAGGCCTAATGGACTATTGAATGAACTCTGGCTTTTACTCTGAGTGAGGAACATTTTGAGAAAAGAAGTAACATCAGTTGCCTTGTGTTTTTCAGGGTTGTTTTGGATGTTACATTTAAAATAGACCTAAGGAGGGGCACCTGGGTGTTTCAGTCATCAAGCATCCAACTCTTGATTTTGGCTCAGGTCATGATCTCACCATGGTGAGATCCAGCCCCAGGTCTGTCTCCACACTCAACAGGGAGTCTGCTTGAGATTCTCTCCCTTTCCCCCTGCCCCTCGCGCTCCCCCCCATCTCTTTCAAACAAATAAATAAATCTTTAAAAAATAAATAAAGTAGACTTAAGGAGGGCAAGGGTGAAAACAGGGTAGAGTTGATGGAGGTTTAACCAGGGTAGCAGTGAATGTAGTGAAAGTGATTAGATACTGACCATATGTTAAAGTTAGAGTTGATATGATTTGCTGGTGGATTGGGTGTGGAATGTGAGAGAGAGAGAAGTGAAGAATGCTCTAAGGTTTTTTGGCCAGAGCAACTGGTAAGATGTTTAAGTAAATGTTACAGAAAGTAAATATGGTAGTTTAGAGGACATGGTCATTGTCATGGGCCATATCAGTTAGAAAAGACACTGAAGAGGAGATAATAATTATACTGCATTTTCTGGGGATGTATATGATACAAGCAGTTAGAGGAGAGTTATGAGGAGAGCAAAGGTTTACATTAGGAGTTGGCTTGAGATATTCTAGGAGCTGTGTGAAGACAAGATTCATTTTAAATGGTCAAGAATAAATTTGGATATGGGGAACCCTTGTGTGCTAGGCTCAAAAATTTGAACTCATGCTTGTAAGCTATGGGGAACTAATGGAGATTGTTTTCATTAAGTAAAAAAGAAGCTAGGGTGATAAGGTTGTTTACAAATCAAATAGAAAGGAATAATCAGGAAAATATGACAACTGGATATAGAAGATGAAGAAAGGGAATAGCGGAAGATTTCAAGATTTAGCACACAGGTAATTACAAAAAGGGTAATATGTTGACAAAACAAAGCCAGTTGGGAAGGAAAAATGGTTTATAAGGTAACGATTGACTTTGTTAAAATTTATTTAATATCCAAATGATATCAGTTATTGAAATGTGTTGGCTATGAGTTCAGGCACAAAATTTAGAGAACTTTGTTACCATAGGAGAATTTATAGATCTTTATGCAGTAAAATTCCATAATATTTTCATACAAAAATGACTGTTACAAAGATTGTATAATGTTTAATAGAGAAAAAAAATGCAAGAATATAACCAGTTATGCTCATACCATTAGTTTGGATTTTTATAAGGCTCGTGCTTTCTGTACTGGAGAGCTCTTACCTAGCTGTACAGATTTAAAATAACTGGAAAGTAAGACATCATATAACCTGATGCTAGACTGGATGATATGAATTATAAGTACTGTAGGGATTTAAAAAAGGAAAAGGTGATAGGTTTTGAAGTGGTTTGGGAAAACTCCAGGAAAAGTTGAACCTTAAAAAAGCTAGACCTTAAAAAAGGGAGAGGTTTGTGATTGCTTGGCAGTGAAGCAAGAGAGGGAGTGTTATAGATAGGGAGAGTATAACCAAAGCATGGAGGTGAAAATTAATTTAGAAGATGTCCAGTACATGAAGGATAAAGGGGCTTAAAATCATAGGGAGAGAATTTTAAAAATCATAAAATTTCAGAACTATAAGGGACCCCCGGTAAGGAATAACCTTAACCAGACAAGGGAAAGGGAGAGAGATCTTGGAAATATGCCCAGATAAACTTAGAAACCATGTGAATGCTGTGTTACATGTTAGGAAAAAAGGAGAAGAGTTCTGCAGTACGGCTTTTTTGTACAGTATGTACTGCAAATACCGGGAAGAAGGAAAACCAGCCCAGGAAACAACAGATCTTGGTGAGGATGAGGAGAAAGGGAAATCCTCTTACATTGTTGGTAGGAATGCAAACTGGTACAGCCACTCTGGAAAACAGTATGGCAATTACTCAAAAAGTTAAAAATAAAAAATAAATAAATAAATAAAAAGTTAAAAATAGAACTATCCTATGATCCAGTTATTGCACTGGTGTTTACCAGTGCACTTAGGTGTTTACCCAAAGGTACAAAAATACTGATTCAAAGGAACACATGCACCCCGATGTTTATAGCAGCATTATCAACAATTGCCAAATTATGGAAAGAGCCCAAATGTCCATTGACTGATGCATGGATAAAGAAGATGTAATATAGGTGTCTGGAGGGCTCAGGTGATTGAGCATCTGCCTCTGGCTCAGGTCATAATTCCAGGGTCCTGGGATCGAGCACCGAGTTGGGCTCCCTGCTGATCAGGGAATCTGCTTCTCCCTCTCCCTCTGCCCCTTCCCCCTGCTCATGCTCTCTCTCAAATAAATGAAATGCTAAAAAAAAAAAAAGATGTGATTTTATTTATACACACACACACACATGCACACACACACAGTGAATATTACTCAGCCATAAAAAAGAATGAAATCTTGCCATTTGCAATGACGTGGATGGAGCTAGAGAGTAATATGCTAAGCGAAGTAAGTCAGAGAAAGACAAATACCATGATTTCACTCATATGTGGAATTTAAGGTGAACAGGTGAGCATAGGGGGAGAAAAAAGAGAAGCAAACCATAAAACAGACTCTTAACTATGGAGAACAAACTGAGGGTTGCTGGAGGGAGGTTGGGGGGGCTGGGTTAAATGGGTGATGGGTATTAAGGAGGGTACTTGTTGGGATGAGCACTGGGTATTGTATGTAAGTGATGAATCACTAAATTCTACTTCTGAAACTAATATTACACTCTATGTTAACTAACTGGAATTTAAATAAAAACTTAGGGGGTGGGGAGAAGGAAAGCCAGGTCTGGAGAAATGTTCCATGGTGAGGGAGCATGTAGAAAGAAACTGTTTTTGTGTATATTTTTCAATAAACCTTTGTTTGTACTTTTCCAGTCTCTTCTGTTCTTTAACCCCTGATACTACTCAGATACGCCAATAGCAAAAACTGTCCCTTTCTTGCCTGCCTAGTTCACTGTACAGTTACTCTTGTAGTTATTCCTATGCAAATGAAATCAATATTTCTGAAATTAGATATATTCATGGAATAAAGTTAACATTTACTTTTATGTTTTTCTCTTCCTTCTCTCCAAAGGCAGTACTGGGACTCATCAGACAAATGTTTCTGGGAAATGTGGACAACTTGGATTTTCACAGATATGTGGGAAAAGTGGGAGTGTGGATTCTGACTTACAATACCTAGGGACAGCTAACAATCATCAAGATAAAGGTTTAAATTCCAACTTTATTTGGATACAAATGATTTATAAATATGTGGAATTTCCAAATGTAGCTTATATGTTATTTTGTGTAATTTTATTAATTGCAAAAAAAGAAATCAATCTTATATTTTTAATAACATTTTTTTATAACTTACCCTAAAATGTTAGATTTAATAATCTTAATGTAAATATGACTGGTGGAAATTAGAGGGTTTAGAAACTCATGGTGGAGATGAGCATTTTAATACCAAGTAATTAAAAACATTATTCATTAAAAAGTACTATGTTAGCAGAAGACAATTACTTTCCACAGCAGTTTTAACTTTTGTTTTTTCCTTTTTGAGAGAGACTGCCTGTGCAAGTTGTGGAGAGAGGGAGAGGAGGAGATAGAATCTTCAGTAGGCTCCATGCCCAGCGTGGAGCCAACACAGGGCTCAATCTCACGACCCTGAGATCATGACCTGAGCTGAAATCAAGAGTTGGACACTTGGGCGCCTGGGTGGCTCAGTCGTTAAGCGGCTGCCTTCGGCTCGGGTCATGATCCCAGAGTCCTGGGATCGAGTCCCACGTCGGGCTCCCTGCTCAGCAGGAGCCTGCTTCCCCCTCTCCCACTCCCCCTGCTTGTGTTCCTGCTCTCACTGTCTCTGTCTCTGTCAAATAAATAAAGAAAATCTTAAAAAAAAAAAAAAAAAAGAGTTGGATCCTTAACCGACTGAGCCACCTGGTGTCCCAGCAGTTTTAACTTTTAAAGTTGTTTAGAATTTATTAAGTCTCCTGTTAGGAACCATAACTTCCTGACTAGCTATCATTTCAGATATCTTTTATGTCTCTAAGATATAGAACAAAAGGAAGGGCTTGAGGCTGGCTGTCAGTTATATGAATTTTTTATTTGAAGGGGTTTCTTAAATGTCTGTATTAATAGCTTTATCGATTATTATTTAGAGGTAAGATCATATGAAGTATTTCTAGAGGTGTTTTAATTTTTGTTACATATCCTTTACTAAAGCTTTTTGAATGATAGGGATGTACCTCTGTCTTTTTTTGTCAATGAAAAGTAATGCTCATTTGAAATCAGTAAGGAAGATTTAGTTAATATAGTACTTAAATTTTAGCAACCCTTTCCTCCACACACTACAAAGGGCCATATGACTCTATGAAGTTTTTCTTTATGGTGTTTTCCCAATAAAACAGTTAATCTTTCTTAATGATAGAGATATTTCCTAAATTTTGACTAGATACCCTTGGGACTTGTGAATTGTGGAAGCAGCGAAGATTCTCTCTGTTGCTTAGTCTCTTCCTGTTTAGGATATCCCCAAATGATTACATTACCTTTGATAACTACCTCCACTCTCAGTGTTTAATCAGATCTTCATTGAGGCTTTGGTTTTCTATAACCTCTCAGAATACCTGTAAGAGTAGCTACTAAAGGGATATCAAGTTCTTCCAAAGTCAGCATTTAACTTAATAGTAGGTTGTACATTAAAAAGTCTATTAGGACCACCACCATGTCAACTAATATTCTCGGTGGGATTTCTGAAGACCTGGGTGTAGATGCCAGAAACCATCTAGAAGCTTCCTTCCCAATTTTAAATGTTGCAGTGATCCACACCAAACATTGGAAATGTTGGTATTTTTTTTTTTTGGCATTCTATTGGTTCTCTTTATGTGCATTAAAAAATTTGATGTTTGAGTTCTTTGTAAGAAATATCCTGAAATCTCTTAATAAAAGGAATATGTAATAACACACTGACATGGAAGCATCAGAATCTATTAATAGAGCATTGCAATTCAAATCAGGAAGTTGAAAGTTTTCATTTACATGTAAATTGGTGACCACTTAAATCTCCTGTAGTTCCCTTTTCCACCCAAATAAGATTTAGGTAGAAGTAAAGGTCCAAACTATGTCATTTCTGAATTAAAAATAAATGATACATAATTACATCTAGTTAAGTCTTCAGAAGAAAGTTTTGTTAGTATACATAAGCTAGGTCTTTTGTTGTTGAAAATCTTCCAAAAAAATATTATAGGAAAATTTAAGGGAACCCTAAATGGTTACAAGTAGATTTTTATATTAGATGAGGAATAAAAAGAAAAGACCAAAAAAAATAATAAAACACACGATAAATAGAAAGCACAAAATAAGATGGTAGAATTAAAACCAAATATATCAGTAGTTACCATAAATATCAGTGGACAGAACTTAGCATTTAAATAACATGGATGATCAGATTTTATTTTATTTATTAAAATTGAAATGCTATTTTTTTCTGATTTATATTTTTTCCACTTTTTTTAAAGTTTTTAGTTAAATTCCAGTTAGTTAACATACAGTGTAATATTAGTTTCAGGTGTACAATATAGTGATTCAGCACTTCCATACATCACCCAGTGCTCATCACAAGTGTACTTCTTAATCTCCATCATCTGTTTAATCCATCCCCCCCACCTGCCTCCCTTCTGTTTCTTGGTTTCCCTCTCTCTTTTTTTTCCCCCTTTGCTCATTTGTTTTGTTTCTTAAATTCCACATATGAGTGAAATCATATTGTATTTGTGTTTCTCCGATTGACTTATTTCGCTTAGCATAATATTTTCTAGCTCCATCCATGTCATTGCAAATGGCAAGATTTCAGTCTTTTTATGGTTAAGTAATATTCCATTGTGTGTGTGTGTGTGTGTCTGCCACATCTTCTTTATCCATCAATCGATGGACACCTGGGTTGTTTCTATAATTTGGCTATTGTGGATAATGCTGCTGTAAACATCACGGTGCATGTATCCCTGTGAATTAATATTTTTGTATTTGGGTAAATACCTAGTAGTGCAATTGCTGGGCTGTAGGTAGTTCTATTTTTAACTTTTCGAGGAACCTCCATACTGTTTTCCAGAATGGCCACACCAGTTTGCATTCCCACCAACAGTACAAGAGGATTCCCCTTTCTCCACATCCTCACCAATACCTGTTGTTTCCTGTGTTGTTGATTATAGCTGCATTTCCCTAATGATCAGTGATGTTGAGCATTTTTTCATGTGTCTGTTGGCCATCTGGATGTTGTCTTTGGAAAATGTCTATTCATGTCTTCTGTGCATTTTTTAATTGGATTATGAAATGCTATTTTTAAGAGCCATACCTAAAACACGTCAAAATAGAATGGGAGAAAGTAAAGCATGGAAAAGATATACTAGGCAAATAATCAAAGATAGCAAGTATAAAAATATTGATATTAGAGAAAATATGCACACTAAAGGTAAAAATATTTTTAGGGCTAAAGATGATCATTATTATGGAAAAAGAACAATTCAGGAAGAGATTAGACTTTTCTAAAATGTTTGGACGTGGGTGTGTTGGGGGGGGAGTGTGTTGACAGAATTACAAGGAGAAAATTAACAAATCTACAAATGTTAGTAGAAAATTTAAATAGAGAGGCACCTGGATGGCTCAGTTGGTTAAGCATCTGCCTTGGGCTCAGGTCATGATCTAGGGTTCTGGGATCAAGCCCCACGTTGGGCTCCTTGCTCAGCGGGAGTCTGCTTCTCCCTCTGCTCCTTCTCCTGCTTGTGTTCTCTCTCAAATAAATAAATAAAATCTTAAAAAAAAGAAAATTTAAATAGAATAAAGTTTTATATTAGATGATACAGAGTAATGAACAACACAATTAATAAGCTTGTGAAAGTTGTCTCAGTTAGAAATAGAAAACCTCATTAGACCTGTAATCATTAAAGGAATTTTATTTTAAAATTTTACCCCTACACACACAAAAAAGACAAAGTCTCAGGCTCAGATGATTTTCCTAGTATTCTGTCAAACCTTCAAAAAGAGATAAATCCTATCTTAATCAAACTGAAAGAAGAAAGAAAGAAGTTTCCCTGCTTTATTTTATGAGATGAGTATAGCATTAATACCATACCATAAAGTTAATGAATAAAAGCAAAAAATGGTGGCCCAGGCTCACTTTCACGAAAGACGAAGTCCTAAATAATGTATTGGCAAGTGAAATCTAGCAATGTGGTTTTAAAATGTGTAATATATTATGTGTAAGTAATTTTCCAGAAAATCCTATATTTTTAACCTTATCACAGAAAGGAGGAAAACTATATAAATGTGTCAATAGATGCGGTTAAAATTCAATATCAGTGCATGATTACAAACTCGTAACAAACTACAAATAACTTTCTTAACCTGATTAATATCTGTTAATACCTATAGCAATTATATTTAGTGTTAAAATATTAAAATTCACTTTAAAGTCAAGAATAAGACAAAAATGCTCACTGTTACCTTTGCTTTTGAACATTTAACTAATCCCTCTAGTATTTATTGGGAAGCAGGCATTTTCTAGAATCTAAAAATCAAAATCTAGTAGAGGAGAAAATAAAAAAAAGAAACTAGAATAGAAATGACTGCTGTGAAGAAAAATAAGCCAGGGTAGGAGACAGAATGTGATAAGGAGAATTTCTGTGGAGTGCAAATGTTTAAGCAGAAAGCCAAATGAGGCCATTTTGGTGGCTGCTCCTGGTTGGGGCCGTCCCGCATCTAAGGCAGGAAGATGGTGGCCGCAAAAAAGACGAAAAAGTCACTGGAGTTGATAACTCTAGGCTCCAGCTTGTTTTGAAAAGTGGAAAGTATGAGCTGGGGTACAAGCAGACTCTGAAAATGATCAGACATGGCAAAGCGAAACTGGTCATCCTTGCCAGCAACTGTCCAACCTTGAGGAAATCTGAAATAGAATACTACGCCATGTTGGCCAAAACTGGTGTCCATCACTACAGTGGCAATAATTGGGCACAGCATGTGGGAAATACTACGGAGTATGCACACTGGCTATCACTGATCCAGGTGATTCTGATATTATTAGAAGCATGCCGGAACAGACTCGTAGAAAGTAAATCACTCAAAATTTTTCTTTAATAAAACTGGCCACAGCTTGTTTAAAAAAAAAAAGCCAAATGAAGTGGGGGAGTGAGTTACATTGATATCTGGAGAAATCCAAGAAGAGAGCATTCCAGGCAGAGAGAACAATCAAAGTACAAATGCTCTGAAGTAGGACCATATTTCTCTTATTGGAGAAATAGCAAGGTCAGTGGAATGAGTGGGGGGGAGAGTAATTTTCAGAGATAACTTGGGGCCTTGCAGAATATAGTAAGGATTTGGGATTTTATTCTGAGTGGGATGGGAAGTCACAGGAAGTTGTTGAGAGGAAACAAAAATAGCCTGATTTGACTATTTTAAAAGGATCAGAGCTGCTCTGTAGAGAATGGGTTTAGTAACAATGGGGGCCAGGTACAAAGCAAACTAGTGAGGATATGGCAATTGTAAAGGTGAGAGATGATACAGCTTGTATTAGGAAGGAGTGGAAGTGATGAGAAGTAGTTGGATTTTGATATACAGGGTGGCCATAAAGTTTGGAAACATAGATAATTTTATTATTTTATTATTTATTATTATAGTAATAATTTTATTATTACTCTCTGCCTGGAATGCTCTCTTCTTGGATTTCTCCAGATATCAATGTAACTCACTCCCCCACTTCATTTGGCTTTTTTTTTAAACAAGCTGTGGCCAGTTTTATTAAAGAAAAATTTTGAGTGATTTACTTTCTACCAGTCTGTTCTGGCATGCTTCTAATAATATCAGAATCACCTGGATCAATGATAGTGTGCATACTCTGTAGTATTTTCCCACATGCTGTGCCCATTATGCTCATATACTATGAATAAGCCATTTATTCTGCATTCACCTAAGTTTTCAGACTCAGTGATCACCCTGTGTTGCTAATGTAGAGACAGAAGATTTACTAATGGATTAGATGTGAAGTTTGTGAAAACAATCAAAGATGAGTCCAGTGTTGTTGGCCTGAGCAACTTGAGGAATAGAGCTGCCATTTACCAAGAGGAAGATTAGGAGAAGACTAGATTTGACTGGGAAATCAAGCGTTTTGTTTTGACATTGTTACATTTGGGTCATCTGTCTTTTTAAAGAAGATGTTGAGTGGCATTTTGATATTAAGTCTGGATACAAAGAAAAATCCGTGCTAAAATTTGGGGGAGTCATTTTACTCCCTATTTAGGGAGAGCCTAGCTCAAAATTAAAAGTATAAAGTTTGTAGAGGAAGAAACAAAAATTGTCAGTACTCTCAGATAAAATGTGATAATTAAGAGCACTTGGAAGCCACAGTGCCTGGGTCTGTATCCCAGCTTTATGATTTCCTAGTGTGTGATTTTTGGCAATTTACTTAACCCTCTTACATTTTTTTCTTTTAATCTATAAGGTAAGAATAGTACCTACCCCCATGGGGTTGCTGTGAGGATTAAATTACTTAATACCCATGAAGTGTTTAGAACACTACTTGACACAAAGTAAAGTGCTCACTAAGCAGTATCTCCCATCATTATCATTATCATAATTGCCATCATCATCATTATTAAAATTACTAGATCACTTACAAAAAATCTAAAAGCATATACAGAAAACTGTTAAAATACTAAGCAATTTAGCAAGGTTACCAGATACAAAGCCAGAATATAAAGTTCCTAGACACCAGCAACTTTCAGAAAATATAATTTTTAAGAAAGAAATTACAGTATCAACAAAATATATAAGTATATGGAAACCTAACAAAAGGTTTGCATATCTTTTATTATGAAAGCTAAAATATATTTCTGAGAGACATAAAAGAAGACTTTAAATTAAAGGAGATCCCACATTTTTAAACAGGGAGGCTGAATATCAGGAAAATGGCAGTTATTCCTAGGTTGATCTGTAAATTCAATGTCATTCCAATCAAAAACCCAACGAGGATCTTGTATAGGACTTGACAGGCTGATCCTGAAATACAAGAATGGCCAAGATAATTCTGAAGAAGCTAAAAAATGGAAGGACACGCATCCTATTGGATAGCATTATGATAAATAAAACATTGTAGTACTAGTGCAGGGATAGACAAAATAGACTAATTGAACCAATAAGAAGCACCTCAGTGTATGTGTATACATACATACATATGTGTATATATTTGAGCTTTATAGATGAATGGAAAAGAAAGGACTGTTTAAAACATGGCACTGGGACAGTTGCACTATCTATATTGAAAAAAGTTAAATTAGATCTTTACTTCACACTGTACAAAAAGAAATAAACACCAGATGGGATAAAAATCTGAAAGTGAAAAGCAAACCAATTTTAAACTCTTAGATGTATATGCATAAGTAACATACTCTCTTTTGTTTTATTACAGTGTATGCTAGCCTGAATTTTGCTCCTAAGACACAGCAGACATTTGGTAGCCAAACAGAACGTACTTCATCATACTCTGGTCTAAATCCAAGTCCAGGAGGCTTCATCCTTCCATCCTATCCTCTCTCATCACCTCGAACTAGTCCAAAGCACGCATCTCTTACCATATCTCCAAAGAAGTCTCAGGATATTTCGATTAACTTCTCCAATTCCTGGCCTCTTAAAAGCTTCGAAGGGCTACCAAAGCCGAGTCCACAGAAAAAGCTTGTCAGACAAAAATCGTCTGACCCTCCAGGTAGAAATGATGGTAAAAATTAATACTTTGTTCAAATTTATTTGTGTTTTTGAAATATTACTTTGGAGTTAGGGCTGTTTGATCTTTAAGAGCTGGTAAACTGCATTTTATTTCTCTGAATTAGTAAGCATCTAGGAAAATAATAGTATGTTAAATAAATCAAACATGTTATATAAAATAAAATTCAAATGAAATTGTCATTTCTTTTCTTAATTTTGCACTTTAAAATCATTTTTCAGAACTAGGCAGCTAATAATGCTTTATAATGAACATGAACAGCCTGAGAGCCTAGTAACGAATTTTAGCTTTAGAAATATAAAATATCATAATTACTATAATTAATGCTTAGTATCCATTTATTCTACATTTTTTAATTGCTTAGTATATGTTAAATTTATTTAAAAGGGTTTTCTATTATTTGTTAACTAAAATATTCTTTTCTTAACAATAGCCCTTCCAGGACGCCTGGGTGGCTCAGTCCCTTAAGCGACTGCCTTCAGCTCAGGTCATGGTTCCAGGGTCCTGGGATTGAGTCCCGCATTGGGCTCCTTGTTCAGTGGGGAACTGTCTTCTTCCTCTGTCGCTCCCCCTGCTTGTGCTCTCTCTGTCTCTCTCTCTCTCTGACAAATAAATAAAATCTTTAAAAAAAACAATAGCCCTTTCCAAAATAATGAAATTAGCATATAAATTTATTCAAGACAGATCCAATCTCAAAATAAAAAGTCTATTAAGGGCAGCCACTATATCCCACATACTTTCTTATCCCCAGCCTCTGAGCTAAGGTGTACACCTTTAAACTACCCTACCTCAGTGATGTTCTGGTTTATAACATGATCATAAGGTCAATTTGTTGCATGGTTAGTCAGTTTTATCACTTTTTCTTAGCACTACACCTTCATTTCCTCCATTAATTTCTTTCTATGTTTGTCTTTCCTACAAGATCAAATATTGTATTGAAAGCTGAAGAGTTTATTCAGTTTGTTCTCTCGTGTGCCCAACATTACTGCTTTGCATATAGTAGTCACTCACATGTTGCTTGCATAATTAAATGAAGCCAGGCAAGTAGTCCTTCTGGCTTACTTGTGGACTTTATCATACAAATATTAGTTATGATAATGTGTATAAAGATAGAAATTTAACTTGGTATATAGTATTTTTATTTAATATGAAAGAATTTCTGGTAACTCATTTTTGTTGTATTTGTTAGGGGACACTGATACTCCGATCTGATTTTAAATAGTAATCTTCTAATAAAAGACAATGTGTTTTTTAATTTAAAAATGTTGTATTCCAAACACTTGTGATTATAACTCCCAGTTCTCTGAAATTAAAAAAATATAAGTAAAATATGTTTTTTTCATGCAGGAGAAAATTCTCAAGAAAAACTTTCTCCGCTTCAACTTACACCTGCCTTGGTGAGATCACCGTCTTCCCGACGAGGCCTAAATGGGACCAAACCCGTCCCTCCCATACCAAGGGGAATCAGCCTTTTGCCTGATAAAGCTGACTTAAGCACAGTGGGACCCAAAAAGAAAGAGCCTGATGATATTTGGAAGAGTGAAAAAGATAGTCTTACAATTGATCTTTCAGAATTAGATATCAGAGATAAAGATTTGGATCAAGAAGAGGTTAGAGCCAAATATCATTTTTAATTTTTAAATGCTTGTAATTTTCTATAATACAATAGCTGTTATTTAAGGAAAAATCAAGTATTTTTTAATTCCATAACATGTTTTCTTTTTTATAAAAATATTTCATGATCCTGGGCGCCTGGGTGGCTCAGTTGGTTGGGCGACTGCCTTCGGCTCAGGTCATGATCCTGGAGTCCCGGGATCGAGTCCCGCATCGGGCTCCCTGCT